CGCTTTTTCTGCAGTCAGTGATTGACTTCTATGCAAAGTCATTTCTCAACTTGTGTTCCGTGCCATGTCATGCCTGTTGAGTGTTGATTTACTTCATATTAAGAAACTACTGCACTAAAACATTAATTCATAAATGTATATCATATGATTTTATTTTTTTTTCTCAGTATAAATAACATGTACCCTGACTGTTCTACTCTTTGAATAAAATCACTTCATTCAAGCGTTAGGGAGTGCTAAGGGTTATGATGGAGGGGGATTGATAATCACGAGGACCTGCCAAGTGGTATGATAGCATTGTTTTATACATGTCCTTGGCTAGGCCTCAGTTTCAAAATCAGTCCTTGGTCCTTGGCCTTGGCCTCGGAAGCAAGTCCTTGGTCCTTGGCCTTGGCCTCGGCCTTGGGAGTCAAGTCCTTGGCCTTGGCCTTGGCCTCGGGTTGCCGGTCCTTGGACACATCCCTGCTGTATAGCATTTCCAAGGAAACGTGCCAATGCAAAGTGGCTATAAAAGTAAAGCAAATTTTTATGGAAATACGAAAAAACCCCACAAAAGTTGCAGAAACAAACTGTAACTTTAATGTATCGATACCATCTTTTGACCAACGTATATTTTCTGACAAAAATCAGTCTATAGTGGTTGGATGGTTTATTGTATATATTGCATATGCTGCTTTACACAACAAAAGTAACTGAGCAAACAGCACCTGCACCAGCTCTAAATTACTTGAATAGCTGACACAGAAGTGAGAAAGTGAAGATTGATATCTTGACTCACAATTCTTCATCATAAAGTATTGATTGACGTAAGTCCCTCATGAAACTTGGCAATTCTCTCATTGCAGCTACCCTGACAAGGGTGTCACCCTGTTGTTGTAAATGTTCTCAAATGTAGTGATGCGCAGGAATAATGCACTAGGATTCTTAATTACGACCCCCTGTCAATAATAGTGGCATAGTAATTAAAAAGAAATGCTTTTCTATAAGTGCAATGCATTTAATTGCATCAAAACTGACATCCATCCATGGATCCGCTGGAATGCCTGTCATACATTTGACCTTTAATGTAAACTATGAAGTGTTACTCTAGGTCGGTACCTCAGTGCAAAATTTTACACGGATTCAACTAGTAACAAATACATTGTATATGCCTCTCCCCCTTGCAAAACACTACTACTTTTTAAAAATTATTTTTACAAATACTATGACCTGACTCATCTTTCCTGAATCTCATTCATTGCATTTTAAAGTATGGTATACAAACAAGGATTTATGCAGCACATCAATATCAAAGAACTGTACAAAATTTGAGAATACAGAAAACAAGAGCAAATGGATGGAAGTCTTTTTCGTGTTTCAAAATGGTCCTCTCAGTTCGTGGTAGAGGTCAGGTGTTCAGAAAAGGCAGATGGGTCTTTAAAAAGTGTCCATCCTCTTTCGTTAAGCTATTGCCTTGGCCTCAGGAAGGAAAGCCTCCCAAAACTTGATAAGCTGCAATAGAAATAGGATGATGAGAATGACAATACTGAAAGGGAATGGCCAACTTCAGGAAAGCCAAATGCCTTTTACAAAAAATAATCATGATTTTTTTTTTTTTTTTTAAGATCAGAACATTGAGGCACACGAACCACTAAAACCAATTAACTAGAATATTTAACACAACAAGTAGTGCTAATATGTAAGAATTCATTTTTTTCTGGCGACTCTTAGTGGAGTGGTCATTTCTGACCAGGAAAACATAACTGTTGAACATAAAATGAGGGTTAACGTTATTACCCTTTGCTGAGACTGAAGCATTGATTCCAAATATTTGATGATCTGGGTCTTCAAATCCTTGGTTTTTTCTTTCTACAAATACAAATGATATGAATTTCATTTTGCCGTTTCTTGCTAATTCAAAATAATGCCATTTGAATTTTGCTGTTTCCAAACATTTGCACACAATAAAACAAGGTTCATGAAACAAACACTTACCTCAAACCTGAGAACCTCCTTGCGCACGGTCATGCCAATTCTGTCAAAATCTCTCTCGTACTGAGTAACTTTCGCCTCCCACTGCGCACACACAAACAACATACTATGAAGTCACTGAACGCGGTATGACCATAATCAAGCATGGTGTGTATCATGAGCATTACAGCACACAGGCTAGTATCCACTTTAGAACTTGAACACAATTTTGCCAAAGTGTCAGGCTAACGTGTGGCACTATTTGTGTGTGTGTGCGTGTGTGTGTGTGTGAGAGTGCGTGCGTGCGTGCGTGTGTGTACCTCAGTGATCTCCTCCTTGGCCTGCTGCAGTTTGTCTGGCTTGTTGGCCCATAAAAGCTTGGCCTCCACCTCCCTCTTTTTCTGGAGTGAACTCTGAGCCTCCTGCCATCGCTGCCATGCTCGCATGCGCTGGTCAAAGCAGCCCTGTGGACATCCAGCAAGTGGTGGACAAAATGTAACGCGACACCTAATACCATGCATACAAGCTTGTTCGAAGCCCAAGAACGGGTCTGAAAACTGCAAAGTATTCTTTCTTAGCAGCAGCCTAAACAATTCAGTGACAGATTGAAAGAAAAAAAAAAACAAACACTTATGTTCAGTGTTTCTGACAGAGTTAGCTTGAAAGAAAAAACAAACAAACAAACAAACACTTATGTTCAGTGTTTCTGACAGAGTTAGCTTGTTTAAGAACGTGACAAATTTGATTTGGACATGCTTCCTGAGCCTAAGGCAAACTACTCAAGAGATTGCGCAGTTGTCTTACCCGCACGGCACCCAGTAAACGGATGTAGTCAGCCAGCACCTCGGCAAAAATGAAAAAGTCACTGGAAGCCTGCTCCTGGTGCAGCTGCTCCATCTTGTCCTCGACCTCTGCCAGCTGCGATAGGGCCCGGGACAGAGCCGTGTTGTCTTCAGAGTTCCCCAGCATGGCCATACTTTTGGCAAATACTGCCGTGTTTCCGCATAGCTCTGGTGTTGGTGGGTGAAAACATCGTGTCATTCTCAGAAGACTTATGTGAAACATCTGGGCACAATTTTTTTTAACTCTGTTGACCCAATTTATGAATTCCCGACAAGTAATTCAGATGTGGCTCACCCTTCCTGTGATTGACCAACGAGTCCACCACAGCATGGAGTTTCCTTAACTGCTGCTCCTCATTCTCCACCTCCTGCAATTTATCCTCAAACCACTAAAAAGAAAGAAGACAAGTCTCAAAACCAAATGAGAACAATAAATCTGATATTTCACCAGCAGATCAAAAAATGGTCTTGTTAATTTTGAAACTGATTACAACTAAAATTGGCATGCTGATTCCAAATTGAAGTCAGTTTTTCCGAGCACATCAAGAGTTTTCTCCACAGCTTGACAGATAAGCAAAATTTCACTGATCATGTTCGTAAGACTTGCCAGCTGATTACAATTGGCCTAAGTTACAGCTATGTGGCAACTTGTTTGTGCAGTCACGATTGAGAGTGTGGTGCGAGGTGTGAGCAGCTCTCAACAGGTCAGGACTAGTAATGTCTGCAAACGGAAAGATAGCCAAGAAGGAATTACCGGTAGGAGGATTTGTGATGGCTTTTCTCTTTACATTGTAAGCAAGATCATAGCGTTGTAAACTCCACTCATTTTATGCCGTTTTTTTCAAAGCTCGTAACTATTCTTTGTGTTTTGACATTCATACACGTTTATTTCATAGTTTTTTTAATAAAATGGGGATCTTGTCGCTCACAAACTCGAGTTAATCATGTCGACTGTGTGATTAATCCAGATTAATCACACATTTCCTTGAACCAAATAGTCTTCAGACAAAATATCAAAGAAATACCACAATTGATTTAAAATTTCTTTTAAGACAAAAGGTATGGTGTTTGAGCGAAGAAATACTTGACAAAACGAAGTTTTAAAATGTATTGAACAACTCAGATCGCATTATTAAATAAAAATAAAGCATCTATATAACAGTACAGATCTTGAACTGCATAAAGTGCCTCATAGACTGATTATGCGTCTCAAGTAATGTTTGGCATTACCCACAATGAACTGCCAATTTAAGGAGCCGACAAGCACATACCTAGACAATAGCTCTTGCTTGAAAGCAAATGGAAACAACTTGTCTAATAAAGAGAACATTTCACATGGCAGCATTTGCAATAATTAGGCAGGGGGCTGAATAAAGGGAATGTCCAAATTGTCTCCTAAAACACAAAACTGTCCTTTTTCACACACCTCTTTCAATATAATGGGTCGCCTTAGGCTTTCTGTAAGAGATTCTGAAGCCCCTTCTCTTCGACTATGTTGATGGGTATCCAGCCTCTGGCAATCCATATACTGTAGTGAGAACATTATTCAGCCTATTTGTTGTCCTTTTCTTGACAAGGATCACTCGCACCTGCCAATGCACTGTGGCTTGATGAAGGCGGCCAGTTTCCACTGAGTCTTTGCTAACGTTAGCACAGATAGGCTTTACCCGAATGTGCAACTTTATGCTGGTTATACTTTGATGGAACGACAGTTCATCACACCAATATGTACACCCAAAAACTGGTTTTATCCAGATTTCCATGAGGCAATTTTTAGAAAAGGAATTTGCCATGAAGCAGACCTGGGTCATTCTCCTCACTCATCGTGCCTGGCTGCATTTTACCCTGCATTTCACCTTGGAAATGTAAACATCAGGATTAAGTTGTGATCAATCTTTGTTTTAAGGTAAAATAGCTTCTTTTTTCCCATGGCAGTATTTCCAGATTAATCACACGATAGGCCTCATCTACAACTAGGTGGCAACTTGTTTGTGCAGTCACATTTAGGACAGTGCAGTGTGTATTTTTTGTTCCCAAGCCAACTCATGCATAGATGGACAAATCGGTAAATCATACAAAGCACAGTTGCAGTACAATGTGAATTAGATTATTTTTTGGAGGAGTTATTTACTGCTAACTTTGTTCATGTTGATGGCTTTCGGAAAGTTCTAATAATAATAAATAAAAATACACTTTCCACATCCTTTTGGGCTGGTATTTTTTTAATGCTTAGTTTTTACTGAACCTTTAGAAATGTTGTTGTTCAGATATCTGGCAAAAAATTTAAATTGAGAAATAACATTGAGCCAATATCATACATTCCTGTAAGCAATGTATTGTTGCCGTGGAATAGTTCTTGTACACAGCTGGGTGATTGGTGTGACATACTCAAAATACTCACTGACTACTCTGGAATATTTACACTATCTACCGAGATTCAGGAAGTGCTGTATGAAAAAAAATCCCTTTATCAATTCCACTAATTGATCAATGCATTATTTTTGGATTTGAACATTGTTCTCAGGTTGTGTTTCAAGTGGTGTGTTGCATTCGCCTCTAAATAAAGCTATTCACATCAACAGGCCACATGCTCTTACGGTGTCAGATTCGTTCATCTTGATGGTCATCTTGTTGACAGCTTCCGATGCCTTATTGATCATTTTAAGGAAGCCAGCTCCACTCAGCGCCTGTGTGTTTGATGCTCTGGGTAACTTAAAAGACAAGCACAGATTCCCCATTTTGATCAAAACTCCATCATTGGAAAAGAAAACAAACAAACGGCTACATCATAGAATCCTCACATCTTCTTTTTCCAAGAATTCTCGCACATCAGGATCTTGTATTAGCAAAGGGTGAGCGACAACTCTCTGCAGATACCTGCAAAACAAGAATACATTGGTGTGAAACAGGTTACCAGACCTCGAGAGCGACACAAAATATAAGACTGTATACTGTACTAGACATCATCACTTCAAGAAAGTCCTGTACAAAATGTGCGTGGGCTCGTCTTACCTCTCCAGAGCAGCTCTTCGTCTCTCCACAAATTCCACTGATGATGGATCATCCATCCCCACTTTCACTTTGGTCATTCCTGTCAAGGGAATTCTCACTCAATTGATGGCACATGGAAAACTAGCAGTCACACCACTCGTATTTTGTTTACATAATCTGTACAAAGAGGATTTAAGCATTTTGACACGTTTAACTCATTCAGTACCAGCCAATTCTAGACTCCCTTTTTTTTGTATCCTAAGTCTTGGAAAAATTGAAAAAAATAAGTATCTGGGGTTGAACGCGTGGAGTGTGAAAAGACATAAATATGTCTTTGGGAGTGAATGAGTAATAGGTTAAGAACAATATCCTTTTAAAAACTGCCATTTGTAATTTTTTCCCTTTTTTTTGCATAATTTAGCCTGTATTTCACTGAGCGGTGAATGCTTGCAAGAAAATTTCCACCAGGATTTGTTACAGGTTGCAAAGCCATTCGGCAGAAATTTGCACACTTGTCTGCTTTGTCCTTGTGCACAACAGGGTGCTCGACAAACTTTGAGCAAGAACACTTTTTGTAAAAATTGTGGAGTAACCTGCCAGTGTGTACCTTTTGCTTGAGGTTTTTGGTCAGCCCCTTGCAAATGTTTGCAATGCAGAATAGCATTGCTTTTCTTTGTGTCCTCCTTGCTGTCCAATGTGTGTCTATTGTCCGGCAGTGAGTTTACACATGTTAGGTCTTATGTTTTGGACCCAACATGGATGTACCCGTTTGTTGAAAATGTTGCCATAAAAATAATATATCAATATAGAGGTGTGCGATTCAGCTCTTATGCGTTTTTCCAAGCTAAACTAATTACTGCCAATCAAGCCACACGTAAAATTAACAAGGCTTCTTTTAAATGATGAAGGGGGGACAGGGAAGATAGTCATTTCAGGGGAATAAAGCACAAGAAAGGAAAACTAAAAGCACTGTGATGAAGCTGGATTTCAACATTATCATCAACTAGTAGAAAGAAATTGGCTGTCAAGCCCACCTACGACACTTTTCTCTGGTGGTAGTGGAATGATGCATCCATGCAGTGACTGTTTGACAGACAGCTTCTCATAGAGCCCCAGGAAGTCACTGAAGCGCCTTCTCACAGAGAAGGTCCTATTTTTAAACATGGGCAAGGAGGTCTGGAAGGCCAGATGAGGGTACTTTAATCAAGACATTTATTGACACGACAAGAAGTGATGAATGTACTCATACAGAACTACAAACCCTCGTGGATACTCTGTAGGCCACATATGCATTCATGCCATCACCTGGGAGAATGGAAACAAAATGGATGCAGAAAATCAAATATTTGCTGAAAATGCAGAAACAAGACATACAGACTTGAAAGACACCGACCGACTTTCTCAGGGTTGGTGACAGCAACGTCCACATCAAAAGTATCCTTGTCCTCTTCCTCTTCCAGCTGCAAGTGGTGACAGCACATTAGCTCTCAAAATACATTTGCCCATTTAAGTACATACATGTGAAAAGGCACTCGGAAAGCATGTTGCAATTAATCATATCCACTATCATGCAGGGCTGATGTCCGTACCTGTTCCAAGGAGGTGGTTGGCATGGCGGCCGGTCTCGGGGAAAACGAGGAGATGGGACGTGAGCTCGAGGAGCTGGAGAGCTCTTTCTGGGAAGAGCTTCCAGATTTGTCTGTGCTTAGTTGGGCGTCTGTGGAAAGAAAAAGAATCTTACTCTGTTGTCCAAAAACACAGATGTGATTCAACATTAAGGAAATATCCCATTCAGGCCACAACAGTAGGTGAACACCTTAAAGCCTTTTCACATGGCACTTAACACAGCGCTAAATTCAGTTGACAAATAGTGTAACAAAGAGGAGGAGAAAATAAGATAGATCCTCTGCCTGTCATGTACACACGTGGGCACAGAATGAGACCTATCACGGCGAGCACACAGTTAGTGGCACCCACTGGAACAGGGGGCTGCCGTTTAAGTGCCCGGGGAGCAGTAAGGGGTATAAGTGTCTTGCTCGGGGAGACAGCAGCCGTGTGTCCGGGGGATGGTCCTGAACCAGGCATTCCCCGGTGGCAGGTGGCGATCTTAACCTTTTGGCCATGGCTGCCATGTGTGTATGTGCTGTTGTTGGGATGTCAAATGCGCCCTAGTCGTCAAGTGTCCTCTGACAACAGTCGCTGCATCCATTAGGAGAGGTGGTGGCGGAGTGATTTCAGAGTGAGAACAGCTTGTTGTAAATGGCACGAACAAAATGGAAGAAAAATAATTATTGATGGGGCGTCCTAGTGTCCCAAGTTCTTGGACATAAGATAAAGTGTCTTTGATTATAAAAGGCGCTATATCTCCCATCTAGTATAATTACGAGATGTTGGTCACCACTTTTTTCATACCCATACCAGTACAAGTATTAAATCTTTGAGTACTGACCAAAACTAAACACTGATACCTCTAGTACTTTTGATATTTAAAATTTAATTTAACACATTGACAAAAAAATGTGAACAAAGACCTTTGTGATCTGAAGCAGAAAATTTGCCAATGTATCAGATTGCCATAGTGTAGCGCCAATTGCTGCTGAGGAGGACTTACTTGATGTCAGATTGTGTTTCCCTTGTGTCATAAATTCATCAAATTTGAAACAGCTGCCAATGTGTTGTTCCAAATAAATAATGCGGCTGTGATCGACACGATATACTGTAATTAATACATTTTTGACAGTCAAAATTGAGCATTACTATTTTTCTCAAGGCCGGATACTTTGACCCAGTTCTTGCATTGAAACACATTAGCCAAATGAGAGAGAATGTGAAAATGAATTAATAAAAAAGGTTTGTGGGGAATATAGCATTACGGACTTCTTTTACACGACTAACAGTGGACAGTGAATGCAATGAGTTTGCCAGCTTGACGGTCAAGTGTAGTAATTCTATACACACGCATTCCGGCAAGCTCTTTTCATGTGCTGACATGTTTTGTACTACTCAACAGGAATCAGATGGATGGAGTTCATCATAATTTTCATTCATATGGCTGGTGGATTTGATTGCGCTTTTCCTTTTGGAGCACTACAGGCTTTTGAATATGCTTATTTTCCTTTTGTTTGGGCAATTCATGTCCTATTATCTAATTAAGTATTGGAATATAGGTTCTGCCGATAATAATTTAATTGCAGAGGTGTGGATATCCTGCCATCTGAAAATAATGTTAAGTAGGGATGAACAATTAATCAATTCAAATTGACATTGCAATGTAATTACAATGCAATTCTCAGGTCTTCCAATGACTTCCTTCCAGGTCTCACTGTCATTGCCCACGTGAGCATTGAAGTACACCAGTAAAACAATGAAGTCCCCAACAGCCCCACCAAGGACTCTACAAGAGTGGGTACTTTGAAACAGTTGTTTTTCGGATTATTTTTATTTGAATAACATGTCCATTTTCTTGGATTAACTGTAAAATATTGTGATTCTGTATTTAAACATGTCTGACGTATTTCCTTAACTACGGCCAGCTCTTTCTTTGTGAGACCTCTCTGCTATGCAAAGAAAAAATAATGTACTTTCATAATGCAACTGCATGAGCCTTGTAACGTTAACCATTAGTGAAATCACTAGAATGTCGCCTGAATACTTTAATGGCCCTTTTTTCTCTTGTGATTTCTTTTACAAGACTATTTTTTTCAATGAGGATACGTAGGGCTTACCGGAAAACAGATCGTTGTCTTCGTCTGAGTGGACTCCGTTGGATTGGGCGCTGGTGTGACTGCTCGCATCGCCGGCGGGGAGTTCGCCTCCTCGCACGGGCTGACACACTCCAGGACTCATGGACTTAGTCGGCACAAAAGCACACACAAACGTGACTTAAATCAAGCAAGCAAAAAAGTTCTGAAACCAAGCTATCGAAAAGTGTAATTGAAAAGGTTGGCTGGCTGTGAAGCAACGCCAAACTGAAAACAACGAAGTCAAAGAGTTCGAGTCCACGTCTGGGAAGTTCATCTGAGGTTGTTAACAGCTGCGGGATGATCCTGGCTTGGTTTTGTGATTACATTTACGTTGTGCCATATATAAAATAGTCCACAGTTCGCGCCATGGCAAACTCGCAGTAACTTATTTTGTACAGCAAGAATGAGACAAGTCAGTTCAGTAAAAGAGGCTGACTTCCAGCTAGCTAAGACAGCTACATCCCGTCATCAATGACTGGGGAACGCAGGTAGAAAAGGACACGCGAACTTACATTGCTAACGAAAATGTCTTCTCCCTCGTCACTGTCTCCATCTGCCAAGTTAGACAATCCCTCTCCCGTCTCGTCGTTTGTAGGGAAAGGAGGAGGATTGCGAGACGTGCCGGACGCCATTTTCCTTGCGGTGAGGATTGGTGACGTCACCGAGAAGGAAGGAGAGAGGAAAGCGACGTGTAGTTTTAGTGGCCTCTGCTGCTCACAATCACACATGACCAAAACATTGCTTAATTGCAACCTGAGTACAGTACAGACAGTATACGCAAAGTTACATGCATTGGTCAAGCGTAGTCCTGCATCGTGGTACTACTTGTTGGTGGCTGCCAGTCGAAATGGGTCTTATGCTTGGTGGTGGTGGTGGTGCATCAGAGTGAGGATTTATCGAGATGCGCCTGTGTATACAGTTTTGCAAAAGCGAAATTTCGGAAGGCATGTTTTTCTCAGGCCGAATACGAAATAGAGGGTGACGTGTAGTGGATTTTTCACTCACGCCCCATCGTACCTCGACAGAAAAATCCCGTCTCGTCCCAGTCCCAGATCATTGGAAAAACAAAAAAACAATTCTGTCCGTCTCGCTCCCATGCAGTGAAAACGAATCCCGCTCCCGCACTGCCCCCATTTTGGAGGTTAGCTTGATTAAAAATCGCTGCGTTTATTTTACTGGTTAATCCCACTCTTATATGCGCCGTGAATATTTATCACGTGCCGTCCCAATCCTGCGGTTAAAGGTAATATTGCCACCCATCCGGGATGGGCCATCGTGGGACATGGGATGGGCCATCCCATGTCCCACGAGATTGCCGAAAAAAAAGTTACCCTCTAGGTCAGGGGTGGGCAATCCCAGTCCTGGAGGGCCGCTATCCTGCATGTTTTCCATCTGTCCCTGTTGCAACACACCTGATTCAATTGTTCAGGCCTCGACAGAGCTTGCTGATGATCTGATCATTTGAATCAGGTGTGTTGGAGAAGGGACAGATGGAAAACATGCAGGATAGTGGCCCTCCAGGACTGGGATTGCCCACCCCTGCTCTAGGTCTAGGATGAATAAAAGTAGACCTACTTCATATCGTTGGTTGGCAATTGTGATGATATTGTTTTATTGTAATTAAATATTGTTCAAAAACACAATTTCTTCTTGAACATGGAATACGTTTTTAAAAGAAGTGTAGTTAACCTGATATATAAATACAGTGTTTCTTAAACCAACTAAATAAAACTGAATGCCAGTCTATCCTCCGCCATCATTCAGGACAGCCTGGCATGCATACTGTCAACACTGCATCGAATTGAACAGCAGAGGGCCAGGTGAGCCGCTCTATTTTGGCTCATTTGAACTAATAATCTGACTGTAGTTTCCATCCATTTATCCTCACGGGGTCGCGGGCATGCTGGAGCCTATCACAGCCATCATCGGGCAGTAGGCAAGGTACACTTGAACTGGTTGCCAGCCAATTGCAGGGCACACATAGACGAACAACCATTCACACTGAGAGTCACACCTCCGGACAATTTAGTGTTCAATTAATCTGTCATGCATGTTTTTGGAATGTGGGAGGCAACTAGATTACTATGAGAAAACCAACGCAGGCACGAGGAGAACATGCAAACTCCATATAGGAAGGCCGGGGCCTGGAATTGAACCCATGACCTCTGTCCTGTGAGGTGGACGTGCTAACCAGTCCACCACCGTGCAGCCCGATTTAAGCTTCATTTAGCAAATAGGTACTCCTAATATTGGTGATGTTTCTACTCATTTTAGACACAGTATCATACTTGGGAGAAAATATGAGGTCCTGTCTTGAAAAAGTTAAGGTTTAGCTTGTTCTCATTGACCTAGTTAGAAACTGGCATAGTTCATCCTGAAGCAAGTTGTCAACAGCCCCAGTACTTTCTGCAGAGACATACATGGTGGTATCATCTGCATAGATTGGTACACAGATCGATGTTAACTAAGATGGAAGAAAGGTGAGGTCCAAGTCTAAGGCAATTACCTTTTGGAATACCGCTTTTGAATGGAATGATGTTTGAGAGTGTGCCATTAAACAATCCACATTGTTTCCATTTGACAAATAGCTTCTCTTAACGTTTACTCCAGTATTTTGAAACGAGGAGCACATTAGCCCTGAAACACGAAATTCAGGGGCGCACATGAATCACAAATTAATTTGCGAAGTCAATATTCACATTTCCACTTCATACTGTATATGGGTGAGGGTGTGTCGCTGAAGTTGGTCCAACAAAAAACATTAAACATAAAAAACCCCAGATAAAATTATTCAGCTAATTTCTGAGTCACACATGTACAAGTAGACGAAAAAAAACATTTGCACTGCCTCAAATTCTGGGTGCAAAATGCTACCATTTAGTGGCAGTCTGGAGCCCTGAAATGGGTAGAAAACTAATTGGTCTGCTCTTTGGTCCGGAAAACTGCTCCCTCGTGCAGTGCGCTTACCCTTGCTTTCTTTCATAACTGTGGAAAAACACATTCATGAAAACATCATTTGAATATATGGAAAATTGGCTGCATCACAGGGTGTATCACATTTAAATGTTAGAATCAGGTTTTCAAGCTCAGCCATGGAGATCATTTTTTATTCAAAGCTGCAATTCTTATCTTATCCTTACTTCTTTGTGTTTTAATGATGAAATCAGAAAGGTTACTGCCCCCAGGCAATATGCTTCCTATTTACATAATAGTTTGCAATACTGTATCAACTTGTTTCGATATGTATTTCTAGAAATCCAAATATTGTATTTACTTTATGCATACCAATAATTTTGTTTCCTCCACAATTCAACCCCCAATCATTTTTACAATCTGTACTTTTGGATTGATATCTTTTTTTCTTTTCTCTGTTAATTTTTGTGATTTTGTTCCTCTAAAAGCTTGCCAATCCCCCGTATTACTTGATATACAGTAGCAGACTTTTTCAGCAAATCTCTTGTACCATGCGGCATCTCAATTCATGATCAACCCAGGGGGCAATAACTTCTTGAGCACATAACTTTTTATTTGGAACATGATATCACAGATATTAATAAATCATTTCATAAAAGCGAATAATGCAGCCTCTGCATGGAAGGAGTCCACCGCATTTTGTCAGTTTCCTTTTTTTCTTTTTAAGTAATTTATGAAATCTTTCTCAGAGAATGTTTTATAAATTCTTTTAAAAATGATTTTATGTCCAGATTTGGGAAGGCGTAAATTTGTGGCCAGTGCTACAACAATTGCACATAATTTGTTGCCAGCTTTACCTTCTTGGATATTTATGATGAAATAAAACAATGTGAAACGTTTATTTTGTTAGTATTCATAAGAGGTTGTATACACCAATTAAAAAAACAAAACACCCCGCCCCCCCACCTGACATGTTTTTCAACGTTTTCCTAAAAATCCACTGATTTTCAGTTTTCCTACAGAAAGCAAAGAAAGTTCTGTACATGAACAAGCAACAACATAATTCCTCATGAGCTGCAAAGTCAATACTCGGCCTCTCAAATTCATATCATCTCTGGAGCAGGAAAAACAAACAACAACAACAACAACAACAACAAAAGAAATCAACAAAAACCAAGACCAGCTGCCTGCCGCTTTACCTCTAGGACTCTACATTACACAAACAGCATTTGATATTCAAAACACAAGATATGTAAGAAATTTACTTTCCAAAAACTGTGAAAAAGTGCAATACAGGTTCAACTGGTAACAACTCAAAAGATTATTTCCCAAATGGAATCCGACCTTTTTCTTTTTTTTGTTGTTGTTTTTAATCATACAAACCCAATTTCACTGAAATTGGGACCTTGTGTTAAACATAAATGAAAAACAGAATACAATGATTTGCAAATCATGGTCAACCTACATTTAGTTGAATACAATACAAATACAGGATGTTTAATGTTCAAATTAATCATTAACTTAGATGGCTGCAACACGTTGCAAAAAAGCTGGGACAGGGTCATGTTTACCACTGTGGTACACCAACTTTTCTTTTAACAACATTCAATGAACGTTTTGGAACTGAGGGCACTAATTGTTGAAGTTTTGAAGCTGGAATTCTTTCCCATTCTTGCTTGATGTCCAGATTTCGATGTTCAGATGTCCTGGGTTTCCGTTGTTGTATTTTTATCCTTCAGAATGCGCCACACATTTTCAATGGGAGACAAGTCTGGACTGCAGGCAGGCCGGTCCAATACCTCTTTTACTACCAAGCTACGCTTTTGTAACACGTGCAAAATGTGGTTTAGCATTGTCTTGCTGAAATAAGCAGGGACATCCATGAAAAAGACATTGCTCGGATGGCAGCATATGTTTCTATAAAATCTGTATGTACCTGTCAGCACAAATGGTGCCTTCACAGATGTGTAAGTTACCCGTGCCATTGGCACGATCACAGATGCTGGCTTTTGAAATTTGACGTCCATAACAATCCAGATGTTTCGTATCCTCTTTGGCCTGGAGGACACGGAGTCCACAATTTCCAAAGACAATTTGAAATAGGGACTCATCTGACCACAGAACACTTTGTATCAGCACATCTTAGATGAGCTCGGGCGGCAGAAAAGCTGGCGGTGTTTCTGAGTGACAAATGGCTTTGCATCGTATAGTTTTAAGTTGCACTTATGGATGTAGCCCCGAACGGGATTTAATGACATTGATTTTCTGTAATGTTCCTGAGCCCATGTGGTGAGATCGTTTTTACACATGGATGTTGTTTTTTGATGCAGCACCACCTGAGCGATTGAAGGTCACGCGCTTGCAATGTTGGTTTTCGGCCTTGCTGCTTACATGCGGTGATTCCTCCAGATTTTCTGAAGCTTTTGATGATAGTATGGACTATAGACGATGAAATCCCTAAACTCCTTTGCAATTGTACATTGAGGATCATTGTCCTGAAAGTGTTCCGACTATTTTTCTCTTGGAGTGGTTCTCAAAGATGTGTACTTCGCCCCATCTTTGCTTGTGAGTGACTGAGCAATTCTGGTTCCAGTTAGCCTGTTCACCTGTGGGATGATCCAAACAAGTGTTTGATGAGCATTCCTCAACTTTCTCAATCTTTTTTGCCACTTGTTGCAGCGTTAAAAAGTCAAATGATTATGACAGTAAATGAAAACAGTTTAAGAGTTTCAACATTAAATATATTGTCTGTGTAGTATATTCAACTAAATATGGGTTAAACATGATTTCTAAATCAATCTATTCTGTTTTTATTGATGTTTAACACAACACCCCTACTTCAGTGGAATTCTGTTTGTAAATTCTCCCCCGTAAAAAAACAAACAAAAAAAAAGGGACCCATTGTTAAAATCTCTTACATTAAGAATGACATTCGTGATGATGGTTATTTGTGAGAAACATGACAAAAGTTGAGATTAAAAATGACTACCATAAATTTCTTTGGGTAACAGGATGATGGGAAAGTAGACTTGACATCGGGTTTGTGAACACATTTTTTTTTTCTTCATACAAAAATGATGATGCGCATAAACTCAGTGGGAGTCCCATTCTAAAGGCCAACATGTCTATGACATGTAATAGAACCACAATGTTGCACTTAAGGAAAGGGGCACCAGAAAGTTGTGTTAACGCCACAAAACATACACTCACAAACTTTTTTTTTTTTTGTATAAAAGACAACTGGTCTGTTGTAGGTGATTGTTTGACTGCAATGTAAGGGTGTGTGCCAGGGAGGGAAGGACCTTGCGGGGGCAGCACCCTGAGTCCGAGTCACCTTTACCTCCCAACCTGCAAACACGGCGGTAAGGCTTTTAGAAGGGAGACCCCGCTGGAAAGAAAACTGCAAAATGTTAGAACTCCTTTCTGACGCTTTCGTCCCACATCAAAGAATGAGGGAATTTAAAAATAAAAACAACATATGTACATGTTTATAAGGATATGTACTGTATGTAAAAAATAAAGAATACAACAAGGTAGAAAACAATACAAAATCATGGTACAAGGTGATACGAACATACATGACTATATGTCGGAATAATGTTGGCTTGTAAAGAGGGGGGATGTCCAATGTTCACTCCACTGAAACAGCCCAATAGATATACAAAAATGCACCCCCCCAAAAAAAATTAAACAGAAAACAGAAACGGTATGGACCAACATCAATACCAGCATGTTGTTGGACATTTGACATAGACGTGCATCGTCATGTGGCACCGAACAAACAAACAAAACATGTTTGTATTTTTGCTGAGGAAGTAAGATCACAATCATTTGAGTTCATTGTCTCCGAGAATGGTTCTTCATAAAAACATGAAGTGTCTCACTTTGCTTCCCACCAATGGTCATCTCCTTCCTGAGAGTGAGAAAGGTGAGCCGAAAAAAGTTCCTAGAAGTTTTTTTTTTTTCTTTGCAGGACGAAAAAAAGGGGTCGTGGGGGTGTGTATGGGGGGCACAGAAGTCATTTTCTGTCCATGGGCCACTTGCTCCCAAAGGATTATTTTTTTTAATTTACTTTCCTGTACCAATGCTTTATCTGTATAGTGTGTATTTTTGTGTGTGTGTGTGTGTGTGTGTGTGTGTGTGTGTGTGTGTGTGTGTGCGCGCGCGCGTGTGTGTGTGTGTGCGCAGATGCTCATGGTGCTGTGGTGATGGCGTTGAGGTCCTTCATGAGGCCCTCCAAGTGGGCCATCTCCTCGGTCAGCTCGTCTGGTTCGTAGCTCTGAGGGAGAGGAACAGGGTTACTGCGAGGGGCAGGGGAGGGGCAGGGGGGCAGGGAAGCAAGCACCTGGAGGAGGGGAGGGGAGGAAGAAGAGGAGAGGAGGAGAGGGTCAGTCAGGGACCTTTCACAGAGGATATGGGGGGAGTCAAATGGGTGGGGTGAGGCGCGCTGGGGGATGATGGGTCAATGGGACTGATGCGTGGGAAGTTACATGACCAGAATGGGAGAGCAGATGAAAGCCAAGCAAACCAGCAGAAGCAAAGAAGCAAAAAAAAAAAAAATCATTCCAATGGTGGGTTTTGTAATTATCAGCCATAAAAAAAAGTACATGGATTCATAAAGTACAGCCAATAGAGGGTGAGAATGACGTTAAAGAAGAATAAAGAGAGAAAGAGGAAACAGAAAACGTGGTTAAAATCAAAGTACATCTGAAGCTAGTTATACACTCCAGTGCCCAAAGAAAACTAGACATGGATTTGGAAGGAAAGTGTGAAAGTTACATTTCTAGCACTTCCATGTTTGGTCACTTAAAACAATTCTGTATTGAGCAGTGTGAGACTTGTCTGCAGTGTTACAGGCAGCCCGCGCAGGTCGCAATACTCACGCTATCTACATCCTCCAGCATCTTGCTGGTCTCTGGGACGTCGGGGGCATTGGGCACGTTGACCATCATTGGCGTTCGAGTCCTTCCTAGAGTTCCAATGGAGGCTGTTTTAACGACATGGGGGTGTGTGGGAGGCCCTGAATCAGGTGAAGACACCAAAGTGGGGAATTCATGAGCATCATGTTGTTCAGAAAAAACTGCTCAACTTGATGTCGAACATCCAGTGGCGGAGCGAGGTCGGGGCAAGGGATGGCCACTCACTGGTCACCCCACACCGAGGGGAATATTTTGGATAGCTGTGACTTTGCTGCCCTTTTCACATGGATGCGGTATCCAAAAATCCCTTGATACACTGTCACAATTCACATGACTTTTAACTCATTCACTCCCAAAGACGTATTTAGGTGTCTTTTCAGACACCACACATTTAATCCCAGCTCCTCATTTTATATTGACTGTACTTGAAAAGGGTCTGAAAAGGCCATTTTCAGACCCTTTTCAAGTACAGTCAAAATGAGGAGCTGGGATTAAATGTGTGGCGTCTGAAAAGACATCTAAATACGTCTTTGGGAGTGAATGAGTTAAGTACTTATGTGAATTGTCCCCTCAAATATTATTACATCGAAAACCCTGCTTTCCTTGCACTGCTTATTTTCCTCTCCGTTGTCTGCCATGACTGTTGTTGTTCCCGCTCTTGCCGCGCAGAATGGTGACATCTCGTGCTATTCAATTACACATGGCAAAAAAAATCATACACATGTCCGATGCAGTACCGCCTATAAAAGTGACCTGAGTCAGATTTGGGGGGGAAAAAAAACGGAATTGAGCCATTCAGACTGTCATAAAACAATCTGATACAGGTCACATCCTGTATGGCCCATAACATTTTGATTTAGGTGGCATTTGCCTGCAGTCTGAGCCTTAGTTGTACTTAAACCGGGTTTTATACTGCCATATACTACAATGTGAGTGGGCTTAATATTTTTTTTCGGATCAGGAATCATATACAGGACAAACATACTACCAAAAAAAAAATTTGTAAATAATTTTGAGGGACTCGGTTTTTGTGAAAAAATATACAAAATTAGTTCTTCACTTCTGATGGTTTCTTGTTCAGCAGTTTTGTGCCGTCCTGGATGGTAATTTTTATGTGAGAGTCAATTGCACTGGAAACAAAAAATACAGTACTGTATGTGGTTATTTTGTTGTCTTTTTCAAACCCTTTGCTGTTGGGTTACAATGGTGGCTCTTTTATACACGCATTGAAAATGTATTGTCAAAAATGAAATACATGAAGTATTTTCTCCATATTCAAAATCGTATTGTTGTCATAATCTGGGTAGGAAATGTGTGGTCCTATGCGGCACCCAATAACACTGATGAAAAAGTGTGGCCTGCTCCACCATTATAAGCTGCCCATCCCTTTAGTAAACTGTGAGATTGTACACAAAAGCAAAGCAACTGCTAAAAAATTGGCGCTATCTACTATATAAAGCTTCGTAAAACATTCATTGCTTGTGTTATGAGTGTGTTGTGCCAGGTTCTGGATATGTGTGCATTTTATTTCAGGAAACCTTGACTGTGAATGGTATGATAAACAATGACTACGCTCCTGCAAACATCTACTGTATGCAACGACTTAAAAAAAAAATGCTTGTTTGATTGGCACCTTGGGAAGCACAGTAACCTACTGGTTAGGCATGTGTGCCTCATAGTTCTGAGATTCTGGGGTTAAATCTCATTCCAGCGTACCAACGTGGAGTTTGCATGATAGAAGACACTATGAGAATGCCAGCAGGTGTTGCTCACCAGTCTGAGCTAGCAGGGGAGTGCTGGGCAGTGCAGGTGACTCAAAACAAGGGTGACTTGCAGCTGTGATGGCAGGCACAGCAAAGCTCTTCAGAGGGTGAGCGTGGGCGTGCGGGTGGGCCGAGCGCAGGGGCGGCAAGTTGCTGGTATAGCAGGACTCTTCCTCTGTGGTGGTAGAGCCATGGTAACTGCCGTCGGGGTCCGCCAGGATCTCTGAGGGGCAGGAAGCCTGCGAGGAGGAGGCGGCAGGAGGAAGAGGTTCCGAACAAGGTGTATTCCTCACCGATTCTGGAGGACAGATGAGGACGGGAAAGAGACACCAATGAAGAGGTAGTTTTGTCTCCTTTCATCATTGCCTGTGTTCAGAATCTAAATGTGTTGAAGGGAGTTCAAATGTCCAGCCCTGGGGTCATTTTTGGCTCACTGCGCGTTTTCTATTGGTCTGTCGCCTAATGTAATCCAAAATTAAAAATATTGCCCGCATCAGGTGACAAGAAAAAAAATTACATTTATTGAAAGATAGCACACTAAGGCTGTATTTCCACGTAGACCGTTTGGGCCGCTTTGAATGGACCGGGAATCGTTTGCCACACAGGTCCCCCTACCTTTTAAGCAGGTGTGAATACACACAAACAAATCCTTGTGCAGACGGTACCGGACCGAGACCCACTTTTTGAGGTGGTCTCGGTACATTTCCAAACGAGCTCGGTGCAGTTTGCTACAGGTTTGAATACAAACGACTGCCGCACCAAATACAGGGTATGAGCGACTTTTTGGGCTTAACAAGCTACCGTAGCCCGCCATCATGGGAAACAGTAGCCCTGAGTGAATGTTGATCATACGTGATCCTTCATCTATTGTTTCGCAATGCCGCCGCCAGCATGTTGTTGATCAAGGCATGAAGAGCACAAGCTCCTGCGGCTTACTGCCCGCATTCGCCGACGCTGATCCAAAATTTACAAAAAATAGCATCGTAAAACATGCTTTGAATGAACTGCTCTTGGGCCTCAAAATTATTTTGCAGCTCTAATAACAGCACTAACGTGCAGAGCAAGAATGCAGCATGTAGGAATCGCATGTTTTCCTCCATATCAGGCTGTGCTATCGGTGCCGCCAAGTCATTTCTGTCCAGTAGAAGCATCGCTCATCAGACACGATGAGTTTACAGAATATAGTTCACTTACAAAAATATACAGTGTGAATTCGAAGAAAACTTTTCTCATAAAATGGATTTTTGTTAGAAAACAGAGCCTAACTTGGCTTCCCCTTAAACCACAAGTGTACTCTTTGTAGCCATTCTGTCTACGACAATAACTTTTACAAATCACACAATATGAATTTCATAGCATGCGGCCTTGGAGTCAATAAACGAGATGTTCCTTCATAAGCAAATCAGCATTTACAATGGACACAGTTTCTGCTAAAAGAAGCAGCCTTGTACAAAACAATCGATAAGATTAATTTCACACATTCCATTTTCAATGATAGGCCACAATTAATGGCCAAAAAATAAAAGCTACACTAAAAGAGAAGCAGTAACAAAAATGCACATCTGGCTGCTCAAACCTGGCCATATGTTGCTTCCCACTACTGTCACTTCCCTTGGTCCAAATCATCTCCACTCTAAAAACCACTTATGTCGTACAGCAACAGATGGTGCTACAAGTCTAAGCCCATTTAATTGCAACTTTGATGGCAGACTTCACTGAATTAAGTCTGCAGTAGGAACAAGTAACACAGGTGAAGTGGAGAACAATGGAACTGGTGAAAAGAAGCGTATGATGGTGGAAACATGCTTTTAGAGTTAAATGAGTGATCAAATGAGTGTTCTGTCCTCTTTTGCAATCCCTTCAAGGACCAGCATGGGGCAGTGTCTCACCTGTGGAGTCCACCCTGTCAAGATGGGAGATGGGGCTGCAGGCATGCGGGCGGAGGTGCCCGCTGCCTTGGTGGTAGAGGTAGCTGCGCGTGGGCGACGCCAGGCTGCCCATGTGATAATGGTGCTGATGGTTATCGAGGGAATGGATGGGATGAGCGCTAATTACAGCTGTGGATTCAAACGGACATGGAGGTTTATCATGAGAGAAGGCTACTGATGATGAATGGGGATGTGCTGCTACTCACATTTACAAACACGATCGCACACTTTCATACTCTATCAGGAACAAAATCGTCAACAATTAATTAATCACGGCATAAGATGTCAGACATCCGCGGTGCTTCGATTTGTGCATTTTCTCGGAAGAGGTTTCAAAGAAACAGATCACTAACCGAAAACAATGACGAGCTCACTTATCAAACACACATTGAGGCACACCTATGGTCACACACACTTACGCTGAGGTGGCTGTGCATCAAAAGGCATCATCATTTTAGGCCTCATCCCCCGCCGGCCTGCAAGGGTCGACATGCTGTCCTCTGATTCATGGCCTAAAAAGTATGGCGGAAACCAGCCCATCAGAAAGAGCTGCTACTCTGCCCTTTTGGAGATCAAGCCATTTGAAACCATGGGACATTTCAAATATTTGTTTGAAATTTTGACCTCATTGTAAAAAGATATTGTAAGATAGTCATTTGATTAATTGAACGCTTCTGATGCAAGAAAGTGTAGAGCAGTGACTGTCAACATGGCGTGTATGAAAAAAGCATGCATATGATTGGCAAGATGATGAAGAAAAGCACCAAATAAATTCACCGGTAAAATGGAACACAATCAATGCAGACCTCCGGAACATTTCTGCGAAACTGTGTAAACCTAATTGAACACGAGCTGTTTTTGGCTCCCAAGGAGCATAAAAAAATATATGGGCTGTGAGTATCGCAGTATGCTGTCTGTAACTGTTGCTGCTTCATGTGTGTTAAACTAGCAGCTGTTAGAGGGTTTATATTTATAACATCCATCCTAATGCCTGTTAGCCTGTCTATGGTGTTTTAATATTCTATGATCCTAACATAAGTTGTTTAATTCTCTTGCTTTATCGGGAACGGTTTGAGAGAGAGTCTTTTTCATATTTGCACAAACTTTTAAACAACTCTCATTTCTTGACAGCAAGAAAGAACGGGCACTGAGGGATGCTTCAAAAGATACGGTATAATCAGGTTACGTGTGTCAAAAGTTTGTGATAGGGGCAAAACTATTAAGAAAAAAATATATGGTCTCTATATCACAGATAGTCATCCATCACGGGTGGCTCTGGAATATACCTTCAGCGCTCAGCGTTGGTCCACCGTACTTTTTTAACTATGCCAGCACCATACAAACAACACCTTCCGACTTTTCATGAAAAAAGAATCAAAACCCCCTCTGGCATCTAAACAATAGTGGAGACAATCTCCAAGATAAAACCCAGCAGCAAAAGTGTTTGACTCAAAAGCCAGAGTCACACTGCGTGACCATAACATTCAATTAACTGCTATTTTCCCCACAGACTGACCACGGAAAGAGTTTCGCCTCTGTTGCAGGTGGGGGTTGCTCTCCATCCCGCTGTCAGCTGGAGTAATATCTTGGGAGGTGCGGGGGATGGGTGTTTCGGTCATGACCGGGTTCGGCTCCGGTGACTTGTCCATTGGCTTTAGCTCCAGCCGCTCATGGTGGATCCAAAGATCGGGCGGTTTCAGGTCTTTGGAGTTGCCCTTGTATTTGTGCGAGCCGTTGGAGGACTTGGAGGCTGCCCGCTTCCTGTGTGACAAAAAGGCAGGGGAAATGGAGAAAACAACCTCACGCTCAAGAAGGCCATCGGATCATGAAACTGTCTGCGGTCGGTGTAATGTGATCGCCTGAATGTTACAAACAGCAGAGAACAGTCAAAAGTGTGGGCTGATATGATCATAATCAAGCAAAACATCGACTACATAAGCCATTTCTTTTTTTTTTTTTTTTTTTTTTTTTTTTTACAATGTTTGGTTGAGAATTCAGACCGCCGG